ACTAAACCCCACGCCCTTCCAAGAAGCCCTGATCCCCGCACCCAACTCTGCACAACAAGATCTCAAATCTCATATAGGCGTATGGGTTTAGGCTTTAGGGCCTTTTTCTTGGGACCGTATTTTGCCCCAAGGGTTCTAGTGACCTCCAGAGTAGCTTGCTATTTTTTCCCAGTGACCTACTACTTGTTGACTGGAGGCGTAGGGAACCCCTTCTAATCCACCCCGAAACAGCCTTTTAAACGCCTTTAAACCACAAATACCTATATAAGCCCTTCTAAACCGCTAGACCCCCAGAAGCCACTATAAAACCTTAAAGCCCTACAAGACCTCATTTGTAAACTCCAAGCCCTAAACCTCTAAACCTCTAAACCCCTAAACCTCTAAACCCGAAACCTTAAACCTTAAACCCCTAAGCGCAGGAGATTGGCATCACCTTTATCGGACCACCTAGTGGGGTGATGGCAGCCCTGGGAGACAAGATCGCGGCCAACATTCTCGCGCAGACCGCGAAGGCCCGACTAATCCTTAAAGGCTTCCTTCAAAGGATCTATATCGGATTTAGGGTCTAGGCTTCAGGGTTTGGCCTCAGGGGTTTCTGGGAGTGAGGAGTTCACGCATGTGGTCGCTTTAGGCCACTGGCTGTGGTACAAGTGCTATCATGGTCATCGACGCGTTCCAATCCAGGAGGTGGCTTCCCTCTACCCTTCAACCCAAGATCAAGTGGCATTACAAACGCAGTCGCCTCCATTCCGTCTCCCTTCGGCTGCCACGACAAAGATGCCATACTCATGACGCCAGTGGCATCATGACAATTACAATTGTAGGCATTTGAAGACACCCACAAAACACCCATAGAAAGTCCGTATAACGTGTTACAATCCTTGTAAAACCCTGATGAACTTCCACAAAGCCCTACAACAAACCCGCCTTAAACCCTCTAAGCACAAGTCTCCATAAACTCCTTTTGTGACGCCCTTAAGGAATCAGTGAGGCCCCAGAAGACCTCGCAACACCAGTTTCAAATCACCCGTAGACCCAAACCCTAAAGCCACACAGGTTCCGAGCATCCCATGGAGTGGTGACGGCCTCACCTGCACCCTCACGGACGAGGGCACCGTGCCGGACGAGGTTACGGTCTTGGGTGTAGAGTTGAGGGTTTCGGGTTTAGGGCTTTAGGGCTTTGAGGGTTTCGGGGTTTAGGTTAGTTTTTCTTCTTGTAGCTCTATGGGGCTTGGCAGGGTTCTATAGGGCTTTCAACATTGTTGCTCTCGGCGCGAGCGAGTATGGTATGGGTCAGAACTTCCGAAAGTCATGCTGCTCAAGTTCCCTTCTGCACTCTTGAAAGGCTTGTCAAAACTCTACAGGAACTGGCGGTGTTCTGGGGTCGAGATGGGCATGTTACCAGTAGGAAGTTTCTGTCAACCACGTCATTCCACCGGCATCCAGCAGAATCAGTTTAGGGTTTGGGGTTTTCGGGTTTGGGGTTTAGGGTTTGAGGTTTAGGGTTTAGGGGTTAAGGGTTTAGGGTTCAGGGTTTAGGAACCTCCAGGTAGTCAACCCCAAACTGAACTCCCCCAAAGCCCTCAATCCCAAACCAGAAGAGGTGAACCCCCTAAACACCTAAACAGCTGCTTCCGCAGGTCTTCAACAAGGCCATGGTCCGCACCGTCGACGAAGCTGTGGAGAGGGCTGAGAAGGCGGGAGAAGTGGCGAAACCCCCAAATTGAAAGCCGAACCCGGGCTCAGGGGCTTAGGGTTTAGGGCTTTGTCAAACCCCAAACCCGAACCCGGAAGCCATCGAGGTTATAAGTAGCTAAATTGGGCTGACAAGTAGCTGCAAGTGCAAGAAAAGTTTCCCGGTTTATAACCGCAGCTACTCAGTCCCACAATTCTTTGAGTAAACCCAAACAAAAGCCCTCAAGCCAACCCTGAGCTCGAAACCGCAAGCCACTACGACCCGACAGCCCTAAACCCTGATCCTCCCCCCCTACACCCTGTAGCCTGTACCCTAGGCCCTAAACCTAACTCCTAAATCCCTACTTTTTGAGGTTCACGTGTAGTTATAATTGAGCGAGGTTATAAGTCCCCTGATAGGGGCGATAACCATAGCTACCCTACTTATAAGCCCACTGTATGTTCAGGGTTTCACCCTAAACCCTAAACCCTAACCCCTAAACCCCCAAAACCCTAAACCCCTAAACCCTGAACCCTACATCCCTGGGTTCAGGGTTTTGGGTCTAGGGTTTCCCAAACCCCCCAAACCCCGCGAAAGCCCCAAGAGGTCGGCTTTCCGATCATGGTGAAGGCCTCCGAGGGTGGCGGCGGCAAAGGCCGGCTGGGTTTAGGGGTGTTAGGGGGGGGTTTGAGGTTTAGGGCTTTGGGGGTTTTGGGGTTTAGGGTGTTTTTGGGGGTTTAAGGTTGAGGGCTTTGGGGGTTTTGGCTTTCATGTTTGGGGGTGTACTGGGGGTTGAGGTCTAGGGTTTGAGGGGCTTCGGGGTTGCATGTCAGGTTTTGAGATGAGGGGTTGGGCTGTAGGGCTTCGGGTTGGGGGTTTTGGGTTCCGACTTGAGAGTTTTTTTTTCTCGGGAGGCGGTGCAAGAGAGACATCCTTCTTCCTTTTTCGAAAGAGGGTTCATGCTGAACTTCCCGCAAAGCCCTGAATCCGAAGCTTCCGTTGCCGAGGTATCCGAAAAGCCACGAACATGGAGGAGCTCAAGGTGTGCCGAAACCCTGACCCTTGGAACCCCCCTTGGGAGCACCCAAGCGGACGCCTTATAAGAACCCTTATTGACCCCTTACACAAACCTTGTAGAACCCTTATAATAAACCCTTACCCCTAAACCCTGAAC